AAAAAAAAAAAGAATAAAGAAAAACTGAGTCAAGAGGATCACTTGAACCCAAGAGTTCCAGGTTGCTGTAAGCTATAATGTCTTGGCACTCTACCCAAGGCAACAGAGTGAAACTCTGTCTCAAGAAAAAAAATGTAAAATAGATATCTTAGTTTTCAAATCAGTTAAGTTGATCTGTTAAGTAACCTGATTTCTAATCACAGAAGTACTAGACAAATAATGTGAACATTTATTGAGAGCACAGTATTTGCTGGGAACCTAAAGATAAAGAAAATACAGAATAGAACTTCTGCCCATGTCTAATAAAAAAAAAAAATCATACACTATGCAAACAAAGGACTACAATAGATTGTAGTGTGTAACAGAGTAACCCTAAAACAGTTTTCAGGCCAGGCTTGGGTGGCTTTCACCTGTAATTCTAGCACTTTTGGAGGCTGAGGTTGAAAGATCACTTGAAACCAGTTTAAGCAACATAGTGAGACCCCATCTCTACACAAAAAAAGAAAAAAGAAAGAAAAGAAGAAGGGAAGGAAGGGAAGGGAGAAAGGAAGAAAAGGAAGAAGGAAGGGAGGGAGGAAGGAAGGAGGAAAGGAAGGAAGGAAAGAAAGAAGGAAGTGAGGGAGGGAAAGAAAGAAAAAAGAAAAGGCCAGGCACCATAGGTGGTCTATAATCTCAGCTCTTTGGGAGGCCAAGGCAGGATGATTGCCTGAGTCCAGGAGTTTGAAATGAGCCTGAGCAACAAATCAAGACCCTACCTCTAAAAACCAAACAAACAAAAATCAGCTGGGTATAGTGGCATGCACTACCTCCTGGTAGTCCCAGCTACCCAGGAGAATGAGCCAGGAGAATCACTTGAGCCCAGAGTTTGAGGTTGCAGTGAGCTATGATGATGCCATTACACTCTAGCTCAGGCAACAAAATAAGACCCAGTCTCAAGAAACAAAAGGTATACTATTAATCATATGAGGATAATAGGTATAAACTAGGATAAAAGTCACTCTACCCATAGTAAAATTATAAACAAAGTGCTTGCCGAATGCCACACGTGAACTCTGGTTTGACTTCTTTTCACCGTATGCATACAATATATGCTGAGCCTACCAGCTGGTCAGCATCAATCTTACAATGCCTCTTACATGAGAAGAAACATTTTAAAAAATTGTATGATTAACAAATTCTCCAATTATACTTCTATCTTTTACCTTCTAAAATAATTTCCAAAGGTTCTAAAGTTTTGTGTTCTAAATCAGTATTTTCCCCAGCCATTTCATCTACTATACTATCATGAAAACTAAAACTATATCCTATATCTAAACCATTGACTTCTATTTTTATATTCCAAAGACTTTTGTTTAAGATCCAATTTCTATTTGTTGCTTGAGGATATGCAAGCTTCTCAAACTTCACATGTCCAAATACCTATGTTCCACTACATCTAACTAGACATTCTCACTCTTCTTCTTGTGATCATAGATTTTCTCAAAGTAATGTTAATTCTATTACCTAAATGCATTTCATAACATGTATTCCTTCCACTGTTCATTAATTCATTTAATATTAACTAAGTACCTAAAGTGCAAAAGGCATTGAAATAAGCTCTTATTTCTCAGACTACTGTCAATGCATCCGCTCCAAAAGTTACTCTGCCTCCTGTTCTTCCTGCCACTGACCTTTCTGACTCACTGCTAGCAGACCAAACTTGCAAAACCGTAAATCTTAGCACACCCTAGCCTCTTCCAAAAACCTGTAATAGTGTTTGACAATTAAAAAGAATTAAATTCAAATTCCTTAGCATGATTTTTTTTCACTTTGTTGCTCCTGGTAGAATGCTGTCGCATCATCATAGCTCACAGCAACCCCAAACTCTTGGGCTCAAGTTATCCTCTTGCCTCAGCCTCCCAAGTAGCTGGGACTACAGGCATTCGCCACAATGCCCGGCTATTTTTAGAGATGGGGTCTCACTCTTACTCAGACTGGTCTCAAACTCCTGAGCTCAACTGATCCAGCTGCCTTGGCCTCCCGGAATGTGAAATTATTGGCACAAGCCACCACTTGACTTCTTAGCATGACTTCAAAGGCTTTCTATAACATACTGTAGTCTCATCTCTTACCACCATCCACTGGCACTCACTCCAGCTCCAATGAAGCACTAATCTTGTGGGAATACATCTTGTGCTTTCTTTGTCTGTGCCTTTGCTCAGTGTGATAAAATGGAAAATGGCTCCCAACAAATCATGTCTCCTGTGTCCATGCTCTCCTGCAATATGACTTTGCCATATCTTTCAAAGAAAAGTCTATTTCTCCCATCCCTTGAAGCTGGACATGGGACTTGTTTTGATCATATAATGTGGCAGGAATAACATTCTGGGATATCCATCTCCAGGCTTTGTAAGTCCTTGCAGCTTCTGCTTTTACTCTCAGAATCTAGCCGCCACGTAAAATCTGGGCTACTCTGCTAGAGAGTCCATACAAGAAAGGCCATGTGAAGGAGAACCACGGTATTCCAGTAGAGGCAAAGCACAAAGCCTAGATATGTGAACAAGCTGCGCATGTCTTCTAGCTGCAGGCAAGCTGCTTCAGCCAATACCACGTGGAACAGTAGGAGAGACATTCCCACAAAGCCCTGTCATGGCTCAGGTCCTAAGCCACTAAGTTTTGGGACAGTATTTTTTGGATTTTTTTGGTACATGTGCTGCCTGAACAAGCATAGAGATGTTTTGAAAGGCAGAAACAGGTAATTAACTGTCTTTTCTTATAACTCATTTCTCCTTTTCTCCTCCATCTACCCCACCCTCATTGTCAAAATCAACCTACTCTCAAGTCAAAAGGCTCCTCTTCAATGACACCTTGATTGTACAGAGAGAACTAATGTCTCTTTCCAAAAACAATTTGTTTTTGAAACGATTAAATGTATGGAACTTACTATATTATATCATCTATTATAGTACATACTTGTCTTTATTTCATTATAAACTCTAAAAGGGCATAATCTATATTACTTCTGTATTTCCCACAATTTCACATAACAGAACTAAAATACAGGAGAGTAATAAAAGCAATAGCCTAGGAAAGTGTTACTTCATTTCAGTTAATCCTGATTTTATTATCTTACCTGTGGGATCCCAAGTTATATTGTGTGCTATTGATTCCAGAAAAAATTGGCCACTTTTCTGCCACTGACTATATAATTCCTAAAATTAAAAAAAAGGCATTTAATCAGTTATGATTGACATCTTTTCTCTGTCAAATGTACATGATCATGTTTATTATTCTTATAATAATAGAAAAAGTCATTTTTAAGGATAATAAAATGTTCAATTCAGTCAAGAAAATCAAAGAATATATGATAGAAGAGATTAGTGAAAGAGACTGGAGATCAAATGTCTACCTTTAGTACAAATAACCACATGCTATCTTGGATAAGTCTTATTAAACTCAAAGTTAATTATTACTTTATTATAAAGGTTTAACTTTAAATGTGTGTCTGTGACTCAGCGTTTGAGGTTTCCAGATTTCCTTTTTTCTGTTTGTTCGTCCAAGATGGGAGGATCTCTTGAGCTTAGAAGTACAAGACCAGCCCAAGCAAAAACCAGATCCCGTCACTAATAAAAATACAAAAATGAGCCAGGCATTGTAGCTGATGCCTGTAGTCCCAGCTACTCAGAAGGCTAAGGCAGGAGGATCGCTTAAACCCAGGAGTTTGAAGTTGCCATGGCACTCTAGTCTGGGATAATGAACTGACACTCTGTCTCAAAATAAGAAAATTTATTTTAACGTAACGTAATGATTTTTTTAAGTCTCTTATTTCATTCAATAAATATTTGTTGAGTTTAAAATATACTGTTCTGGGTGGGATAACCACCATTAAAATTTACTTTAGGATTGCCAATTACTAATTCATAAGTTTTTTGTTCTTTTTTTTTTTT